ACCGCGCCGCGCCCGTCGCCGCCCCGGCTTCCTCTGAGCGCCGCTGGAGCAACTCCAGAAGGAAGCTTCCTCTCGCCTGCCCTTATTGGTTCACCTGAGGAGGCGGACCCTTAACGGACAGTGGAATTGCCCAATGGCTGAGGAGGGCGAGGGGGCGGGCAGAGGGGCGGGCCTAGAGGATCCGGTTCCTCTCCACCCGCCCAGCCCGGCTCGGACCCAAAGTGGGTTGAGAGCAGGTCATTGGGTCCATTCAGTCGTTTGGCTGAGCGCCCCAATACGTGACCTTCCCGACTGTGCACACCCCAAACCCCGAACCTGTCCGATTCCTTTCTGTTGTTAGGGATACCCTACGGCTTCCTCTCCATTTCTGTGCGGGCCAGTCCAGACCCCTCGCCCACCTGGACACCCCCCGCGGGAGGCCCCTTTGTGCCTCAAACACAACTGGCCCCAAACTCACTTTCCTGCCAATGGAGGAGAGGTCACATGACCCCCACCCCCAGCCTAGAGCAGCCCCTGGTTCACAGCTCCTTCCCTGAGGAGGGGGTCCCCTAGCCCAGACATGGCCCCATCATCTGCCCAAAGACCCAAGCCAGAAGCCTGGGGAGTCATCTCCACTCCTCCCTCCACCCCCGCCCCTCTCAGTTATCCTAATACGGTTAATTTTATTTCCTTCATATTTATTTTTCCAATCCAAACATTTGCCTCCAGCTACTCTACCACCCTATTCCAAGCCTCTCATCTGGTCTCCGCAATTCCAATTTTAACTTGGCTTTAGCCATCCTCCCTCTAGAACTCAGATTATTGTCCCCAGGTCTTCATTGACTCCCCACTGACCCCTGGGCCTTGAACTGACAATTACATTGGCCTGACCACCTACAGTTCCCACAAATGGTTGATGGTTGCTAGGCTGAGAAAAGCTGAGACCAGGACATCAGATAGTCATTCTTTCCGTCCTTTCCATTGTGTGGTTGCAGGTTTCACCTTCTTCCTTATAAACTTTAATAGCACGCCTCTACATGCCCTAGCTGGTTTGGCTCAGTGGATAGAGCGTTGGCCCTCTAATTAAAGGGGCCTGGGTTCGATTCTGGTCATGGGGACATACCTCTGTTGCAGGCTCAATCCCTATTCTTGGTGGGGGGCCCCTGTGGGAGGCAACCAATCGATGGATGTGTCTCTCTCACATCGATGTTTCTCTCTGTGTGTTTCTCCCCTCCCTTCCACTTTCTCTAAAAATTAATGGGAAAATATCCTCAGGTGAGGATTAACAAAACAACAACAAAAAAGAAAGAAAGAAAGAAAAAGAACTCTTCTACTAACTGGTAAGTCAAATGCAACCCTCCCTGAAACCAGAAAAGTCCACGGAGAAGCTTGAAAATTCGGTCTTCCATAAGGTAGACATGCTGGCCCACCCAGACCCAGACCCAAGGATGTGCCTGCCATCAGACTTGTCCCTCGTATGATATCTATACCGCCACTCACCCTTAGCCCTTTCTGGAAGTGCTACCAGTAAGTCAGAATTTCCAACATCTTCCTAGATCTCAAGAGAGGGCTGTTTCAGACTCAAAGTAAAAATAACTGTAAGAGCCCGGCTACCATAGCTCAATGGTTGAGCATCAACCTATGAACCAGGAGGTCATGGTTCAATTATCGGTCAGGGCACATGCCCGGGTCGTGAGCTGGATCCCCAGTGTGGGTGTGCAGGAGGCTGCCAATCAATGATTCTCTCTCATCACTGATGTTTCTATCTCTCTCTCCCTCTCCCTTCCTCTCTGAAATCAATAAGAACAAATTTAAAATAACTGTAAGGGATTATAAACATGAAAATGTACAAATCTGTAGAGAATTTTTATGAGTTTATTTGACGCAAAACTGACGACATATGCCAGGGAACAAAATCTGAAATGCTCCAGAGAATAATGATTTTGCAACTTCTTTTATGCATTTGAAATTAATGAGGGAACATAAGGAAGATTCTATGAGGGTGGGAGGGAGCAAGGATTAGATGATTATGTGCTTTCTTTACAGTGGTTATGCCTTTCAGTGACTTCCCAATTAGGAATTTATGATTTATTACAGCACCCCCTCCCCTTTTCATCCACAGGTGCAAAATGTTTTTTTGTATAGAGAGTTCATTTGGGGTTACAGAGGGTTGTCTCTCAGGACTGAGGCAGCACAGTTTAATTACTCAATCTGTGGGCATTTATGGGTACCTACAATGTGTCAGGCTCTGGGCCAACTACAAGAGACACACAGATGGCTGCCCCTCCCACACTTTCCTGAGAAAAATTACCTCACTCCACTAAATCTGAAACCACAGAGTTTTTCTAAGTTACCACACACATGCCATTTCCAAAGTAAAAATGCACCTTTGGGGATTTTGTGTGTACTGGAACTTTTGTTTAAAGGCTATAACCAGATCAATCACCCGGTGTATGTTGGCCAACTCAAGATCCCCATTTTGTCTCCCAACGCTTCTTTGAGTCAAGCTCTTATAAGAAAAAAAAAATTAAGGAAAAGAAATTATTTCTCCCTTGAGAAAGGGAAAGCAGCAGATTAGATGCCATTTTTTTCTGAGAAAAAATTTTAAATGGGCAGCCTTACTC